AAGAACTGTGGTATCCCTTAATTTTGTTTTTGTTTATATTTGGTAAATATCTCTGAATATTTCGTCCTTGATATATTAAACTGAACATGTCTTAAAAGTATCTTTTTCTCAATCCCTAATCATCCTAGGGGAAAACCATGTATAACTCATTGAGGAAATTTTCTCTTACCTCCTACCTCTGTCCTCTACCAAACCCTATTTTACTATTTGATAGAAGTTTTTTTTTCAGTGTCCTATAGATATTCGTTTATATGTCTACAACCCATGTGAACTTCAAATTTCTACAGCATGGAATACAAGCTTTAAAAAAATGTGTTTTCTTCCAGTCTTTACAATAACTTCCTTCTCACAGTAAATGTTGAACATATGAATGACTGAGTGAATAAATGAGTCACCCACTCTTCCCTTAAATGTATTCTACATTCTATCCTTCTGAGTCCATGTACTTCTCATATGACTCCTTTCTTTCATCCCTGTCTGTTTCTGCTTTGTTACCTGTAGTGGGTTGAATTGTGTCCTCCAAAAGATACATCTAAGTTCTAAGCCTCCATACTTGTCAATGTGACTTTATTTGGGTAACTAAGGTAAAGATCTCAAGATGAGGTCACCTTGAATTAGGGTATATCAAAGAAAAACTGCACTGGAAATTAAACAGACTAAGAAGACTTTATTCAAGTCTTGCAATATAGAAGAGAGATTCGATTAGACTCCCTTGAAACAAAAGACAGGAGGATTTTTAAGTACTGAGGTGAGGTAGTGGAAAAGTACTGGAGGATGTTAGAGGAGAAGGGGGGGTCAATGTGATAAGGTCATCTGTGCTTGCTAATTGTCAATTTTTAAGTTAAGCTCCTACCCTACCACAGATACTGGAGGATAGGGGCACTATCTTTCTTGATTGATTGTATTTTAAAGGGATGGTCAGGGGCCCAGGGTCAAGAAGAAGCCTTGTCTAAGGTTTAATCAAGGTGAAAGGAAAGTTAAGGCTGTCTTGGTCATGTGGGCCTTAAATCCAGTGACAATGCCCTTGTGTTCTTATGAGAGAGAGAGAGAGATGGAAAATAGAAGACATTCAGAGACACAGAAAGAGAAGGCCACGTGAAGATGGAGAAAAATCAGAGTGTTGTGTCTATAAACCAAGGAACGCTGAGGATTTCTGACACCCATAAGAGGCAAAGAGGGGCATGCAATATGTTTTGCCCAGAGCCTCCAGAGGAATCTTTGCCAACATCTTAGCATCTTTGGATCTTTCAGACTCAAGAACCGGGAGAGAATGGATTTCTGTTTTTTTACGCCTATCAATTTGTCGTAATTTGTTATGGCAGAACTAGGATTGTTATACAAGAGATTTCTGGGAAGGTTTCTCTCATTTTCCCATTTAACTCCAAAAGTCAAAATTGTACATCTCATTAATGACCTTAATTGTTTTTTTCCTCCATTCCTTTTTTTTTTTTTTTTTTTTTTTTTTTAGTATTAGCCAAAGCCATGGCTTCCTCCTCTGAATTCTTTTGATAATGCTGATGATAAGGATAATACAGCTAAAACTTGTTTAGTATTTGCTCCATCAAACATGTTTTATGTCTTTTCCTTTTTAATCCTCATAAAGACATAACAAGGCAGGTACTATTATATTTTTATATTAAAAATGAAGACACTGAGGAACAGAGGGATTAAATAGTACTAAGTGGCAGAATGAAAATTTGCTTCAAAATCTGACTACAGAGCCCTCATGCTTAACCATTTTACTATATTTTTCTGTTTTTATCATTGAATGTCTTTCTTATGTCTCATATTGTAATATGTAAGAGTAATCTATCATAGTAATCTATGCATTTTTCTTTTGTAGTGTACTCAACTGAGATAACTAAAAATCACAGATGCCTAAGCATATCCATTTAATCTTCCCATTTTAAAGGTTTTCTAATATTATTTCTATTGTGATGCATTTCTTTCAACTTTTATAATTCAAGAAGTAATTGAGGAAACTTGCTTGAATCCTGTTAACCTTTAAATAATTTTTTAATGTTTATTTTTGAGAGGGAGAGAGACACAGTGTGAGATGGGGAGGGGCAGAGAAAGAGGGAGAGACACAGAATCTAGGCTCTGAGCTCTCAGCACAGAGCCCTACACAGAGCTTGAACTCATGAACCATGAGACCATGACCTGAGCCAGTCAGATGCTTAACCAACTGAGCCACCCAGGCACCCAACCTTTAAATAATTTAAAAGTTCTGTCTTATTTATGTTCTTACAGCACTTAGCACAATTCTTTGAATATCAGAAATGCCCAGGGGTGCCTGGGTGGCACAGTCAGTTAAGCGTCTGACTTTGGCTCTGGTCATGATCTCATGGTTCTTGAGTTCAAGTCCCCTGTTGGGCTCTGTGCTGACAGCTGAGAGACTGGAGCCTGCTTTGGATTCTGTATCTCCCTCTCTCTCTGCCCCTCTGCTGCTCATGCTCATGCTCTGTCTCTCTCTCAAAAATAAATAAATATTAAAAAAAAAAAAGAATGCCCAAATTTTGTTGAATGAATACAGTTAACCCAAGTGTCAGCCCCTATATATCCTCAAATTCCTCAGTATTCTAGGATCATAATCTCCTTTAATATTTTAATAGAATGGCTCAGGCCCCTATTGGACATGCAGTGGGAAGCCCATTGCTCTTCTGCCCCATAATGCTTCTGAATCTTATGAGTTGGGAGAGGGGTCCATATATGTTCCCTGCTCATCAACCACTTGAATTGTTTTCCTCTGAACTCCTGCTATTTGTTTTATTCTGTGACTTATCTTCTGGGATTGCCATCCTCTTGCTGTCCTGGGTACTGTTCCACTGACATAAGAGTGCTATCTGGCAGACTCTTGCTGACGGCCTGGGATGTAAGGGTGATCAAAGCACATCACAGGTTTAATTTACTCATCCAAGAATTCAACAAACATACCAGCATTCATTTAGTGTCTAGTGGCCCTGTGCTGGGCACTGGGGAGACCAATAATACTAACAAAAGTCCTCACGTTCATGTTGCCCATACTCTGGTCAGGAAAACAAAACTCACATGGGCACCCAGATGAATGTAAAATAACAATGGAGGTAAGTGTGAAGAAAAGACCTCTGATGGACTGAGGGTTATGGTAGTGGGCTTGAACAGAGAGCAGAAGCATAAATGTGCATTAGCCAGCCCTGTGGCAGAGAGCAGGGGAGAAGGGCACTGGAGAAAGGGTGATAGCACATGGAAACCACAGTAGGATGGAGCAAGGTGCACTGCAGCAACTACAAAAAAGTCCATGTGCTGGGAATGCACAGATGCAGGCCAATAAGGAAGAGAAGTGAGTCTGGAGAAAACATGCAAAGGCACTCTGCCAAGAGCACAGTATACTTCAGCCTTTCTTTTTCTTTTTTTTTTTTTTTTTAATTTTTTAATGTTTTATTTATTTCTGAGAGAGAGACAGACAGACAGACAGACAGTGTGAACAGGGGAGGGTCAGAGAGGAAGACACAGAATCCGAAACAGTCTCTAAGCTCTGAGCTAGCTGTCAGCAAAGAGCCCGACGTGGGGCTCAAACCCATGAACCGTGAGATAATGACCTGAGCCGAAGTCAGACGCTTAACCAACGGAGCCACCCAGGCACTCCTAATTCGGGCTTTCTTAACAACAAATGTGATCTAAGTCTTAAAGTTAAGTGGGAGTTATTAAACAGTTTGAAGTAGGGAATTGACATGATATCCTTTGTATTTTGAAAAAAGTGCTGGCTACTGTATACAGATGAGACTGAAAAGGTGAGGCATGTTGGATGCAGGCATTCCAAAAAGGAAGTGTTGGTCCAGGTGAAAGATGATGGTTAGACTAGGGAAATGATGGTGGAAATGGAAGTAAATGGAAAAATTTCAGAAGCATTTAGTGCAGCGTAAGGCAAGAGGACCTAGTGATATGAAGGAAGCACAGGATATCAAAAGTACAAAGCTCACTAAAATGGTATAGATAGCAAATTGCAAAAAATATACTAGACACTGCTGTCTTGAAAAGTGATCACACTTTTCTGAATATGGAAAATTTTCATGAGCTATCCCTTCCTTAGCTTCTTGCCTAAGAGTTTTTCCTTTAAACCCACTTTCTCTCCTTTAAAACCATATTCTCTACAACCATTTTGTTGTTTTACATATTTCTGGATTCACAACCATTTCTTAATAATTATAACATAAAGCAACAATAATGTGTACAGTTTAACACTAAGTCTCCACTACTTTAGAGCCTAGGTTTGCATGGCCAACACTTCTGTTGAACTGTTGTTAAACTGTTTGACATAGTTTCATACCCTTAGTACTACAAAGGCCTTGGAAAGTACTGAAATCACAGCATTATTTTTAGTATATCTTAGATCAAATTCTTAGACTTTCACCAGAAATTCCAGGATCATGGAGTTATGTATGGTTATGGGCACTTTCATCTCCCCATTGGACAAAATTTATTTCATGCTTCCTTAAACCCTTCATTTTCTATCATCTCCTGTGCTAGTGACCAGCTATAGTATTTATACCTCCTAGGAGAAGATAACTTTTTTAAAAAAATTATTTATTTTTAGAGAGAGAGAGAGAGAGAGAGAGAATATGTGAGTATGAGCTGGGGAGGGGCAGAGAAAGAGAGGGAGAGAAAGAATCCCAAGCAGGCTCCACAGTGACCATGTGGGGCTTGAACTCATAAACCATGAGACTGTGACCTTAGCCGAAGCCAAGAGTCTGAATGAGTTACCCAAACACTCCAAAGATTACCTTTTTATTATTTTCTAGTTCTCATACTATATGTCATTTCTTATCTTCTAAAATGTCAGTTTAGGTAACCCAATGGGATTTACAGAAACTAAAAGCTATATATAGTAGTCTACAAAGAATAAGTACTTTATGTTAACAAGGTAGAATCAAAATGCTGAATAATGAATTATGACTTGAAAATCCATATATTCTTGGGAGGAGAATATCTATACCTAATATTGTTCTTGTGCTCTTTTGAAGGGAACATCCTTCTTTAACAGAACTTCCCCTGTTTCCTTATCCGGATTTCTTCACCAGAGCTGATGAAGAGTTGGCACAAATCATTGACCATCATGTAAGGCTGACTGACTTAAACTAGTAGCAAAACCTTTCTTCTTTAAATGCACTTTGAATTAGAAGGTGTAGTTCTGAGGCTGAAACATTAACACGTCGAACTTAAAAATGAAGCCATGATTGGGCATTGCCAAACTTAATGATATCTCACTGTGCTATATATATACTTCAGTGCCTTTATTGGGTTACAGATAATTTGGCTTTCTGTCATTTGTAAAGTACTAGCCTTATCCTGCTTCCTGAATTAGTACTGATTCTTGTCACAAGGATCTGATATTGAACACTGATTTCTTTTATAATGTGGTTTTAATAATGGAACAAAAATCTTTTGACTCAATTTTTGGTGATCATTCTTTACCCCTGAAATATTAGAAAGACTTTAATCACTTTTTTCTTGGTATGAGTTAAACAGTGGCAATTCAAGGCCATTCACTTAAGACACCTTAATCCACTGAGCTATATTTAGTTGATGATTCTGATGATTTCTTATGAAATAAATTTGCAACTTCTTTTTAAGAGTAGAGTTGGAATAGGAGAGAAAATACTTATTTTCTGTTTTTTTATTTTAATACAGTATGGACTCAATAGCATTAGAGGATGTTTAAATTAACTTTATCACCAGTAATTCAGTATTATGTATCATATTGCTTATATTTCCACGATTAATATTTTCATGTTACTTTAATTAGTGATCTTTTGGAAAAGAAAGGGATTATTTCAGTTACTGATTCCATTAAATAGTTATCACATAGCTAATATTTAAGCCACTAGCAAAAGTATTGGGATTTGGAGACTGAATGACGCCCTAGAATCTCAAAATGGGGACTGTGGTATCGTCCTTTTACTCACTAATGAAGTTTCTGCTAAGCCAATATATTACATATACAGAACATTATAAAAATTTTGTAATGGCTTACTAATTGCAGCATCTGTATTTTACTATTGACTTCAACTAAATTATCTAAGATAGATTACAAGGGATAGCAAACTGCCAATGTGTATATACACATACGTAGTGTACTTTTAATAAGAGAATTTTCAGTGACCAGTTTTTTACCCTTGAAAGACGGAGAAGACTTTAATAATTTTGTAATTAAACACATCTACCTAGGGCTAGTTCAAGAGACAGAGGACATCCTTTTGAATGGTAGAGAGGAGGCTTGGAAGTAGCTCCTAAAAACCTTCATCTTTTTCTCTTTCCAAGGATATAAGCATTATCTAAGTAATTGCTACCATGGATCTGTTTATAGTGTATCCACGGAAGTGTAAAGGAATTCTTTCTCAAAATATGTTTGAGAGTTAACAGAATCCAAATTGTTTGGTATGTGGCTAGCCTAATCCAATAGTTTGTAGTATTGATTTGAGAAGGTTTATGGAAGTTTCTCCTAATATCACATTAAAAAAATTCATGTATGTACCATTTCCTTTCAGATAGCTATAGCAGTAGTGCTCTGTACTTATATTTGCTTTTATATTAGCTAATAAGATCTTCACAACAAGCCTGTAACACATTTATCAAAAAGAATGGTAGTTTACAATGCAGTTATTTGCCTAAGGTTTTGAAGTTAGTAAATTACTAACGTTTTTTTGAGTCTACACACAAAACCAGGTTTCTAGGCTTCAAATCCATTTTTCTTCTCTGGTTTTCATAGTTGCTTAATTTCTTGGTTTATAATTCCTAACCTAAACAGGGTGGAAAAGTGGAATCTGTGGTATTGACAAGAAACAAAACATGCAACTACAAGTTGAGTTGTCCCATTAAGTCAATTGAATATTATTAAGTGGCCATATTAAGCAAATAATAAGGCACATACCTCTAATTATACAGCATATATTAAGGTGCCTTGTAAACTGATGGTATTCTATAGTATGGCGATTAAAATCCTGACTGAATGGGTTAAATAAAGCAGTAAATAGTGGTTCTATTTCCCAAGAACTTCAACCATATCAGCATCATCCTTCTTGCTGCCACAGTTGATGATAACAGTATCAGATAAAGTAAAGACAAGACAATGGTTTATCCAAATTGAATTTGTCATGGTCAAAAGAGACAAAATGGGGAAGAAAAGTTTACTTTTTTTTCTGGGACTAACAGAAAGAAAGATCTGAATGTTATGGTGAATTCCAACCATGCCAAGTTCTAACAAGAGGGTGAGCTAAGAGAGGAAGAGCTGCCTCCTGGACATGAGCAATATGATAGCCCATTGCTGCTTTTATTCATGCTGTTTGGGAAACCAATGGGTTCTATTTTGCTGAGCGTTCTTAAGAATTAATCTTCTGTTGAATTTTCACAAGGTAAAGATCAAGGTCATGATGCACATTGAAATCTCTCATGTAATGGAGATTAGTTGCCTTTGTTTATAGATACTGTCATTATTATACCTACTACCATTTTTATGCTATAACATAAATTTGGTAGTTTTGTCAAGCAATATTCTTATTTAGTTTGTAATATGACAAAAATTATATGTCACAGATGGTTATCATAGTTACCAAAGGAACTTTTGGATTTCCTATATCTTAAAATTTAACTGGGAGTAAAACAATGAATATTTTATTATGTTTTTTTCATTTAATATTTGAGTTTACATTTAAAAAAATGTGTTGCCTTTAGAAAGCTGAGAGATTTTTTTAAAAAATTCTGTGGTTTAGTCCTGCTTATTAGTATCTATATACCCCAAATAATAGTTATAATTCACAGAACTAGTATATAGTAATCTATAAGTTAATTGATAGGTCCTTAAGCATAGTCTGATTTTAAGTGTGGAGGGACTGAGGGTAACAAAATGAGCAAGGGTAGGAAGTGTCTTTAGAAACTTGCAACATTTCTGGGCACCTGGGTGGTTCAGTCGGTTAAGCGTCCAACTTCTGCTCAGGTCATGATCTCACATTTGGTGGGTTTCAGCCCCGCGTAGGGCTCTGTGCTGACAGCTAACTCAGAGCCCAGAACCTGCTTCGGATTCTGTATCTCCCCCTCTCTCTGACCCTCCCCTGCTCACACTGTCTCTCTCTCTCTCTCTTTCAGAAATAAAGTTTTAAAAAAATTAAAAAAAAAAAAGAAACTTGCAACATTTCATGCTAAGGGTTATTCTGCCCTGAACTCTTTACCCAGAGAGATTACCACCTCCTTCACTATTTCCTTCATTAAAGATAGTAGAAAGGAAAAAGGGTCCTTATGATGACGTTTGGTTGATTTGAAGTCCTTACTTCCAGCTAATGTTTCCTAGAACTTTTGCCTCCAGATAATGCTGTTATCATTGTAATGAATTAACATGCTCAATTGAAGTGAATCCTTTAGAAGTCTTTGTATTTGCTCCAGAATCAGCATTTGTCTGCCCATCAATTTCACTTCTTACTTCATATGTAATAGCATCACAATTTATACCTTTCAGGTTAATTTGGCTTTTCTTGTTTTGCTTTGGTTTTTTTATTTTCTGATTCTATGCTATCATGTAAATACCAATATTGATGAAAAATTGAAATTCCTTTGTAACGTAAAAATGTAAGCCTTATTTATTTTCTCTTATTTGAATGGTTTATTATTATTTAGAAAGTTCTAATAATATTATTATTACAAAAAGTACTGTTTTCTTTTTTCTCTCTTTTTTTTTGGGGGAGGGGGGACCAGAATTGTAAACTTACGAATAGATGACTTACGTATTTTTCCAGTTATGGTATGGTTTAAGTTCCTCAAGAATATCTGTGAGAAAACCTGAGAAGATAATTAGATAATAGAATCTGCATTTTATGAAGCTTAAGTGATATATTCTTTCATGGAAAATCATATGTAAATGATGCTTTCTCTCTGTTACAGTGGCAGGAAGAGCTAAAGATCCAACAGAAAGAAGATGAAATATGTGAGGCCCAAGAATGTAAAGACAAAGAGTTAGAGGAAAAAAAACACTTCAGAGAAATTATGAAGAGAAGAGAAGAGAAACTACACAAGCAAACTAAACCCTATGAGCTTCCTCCTAGGAATGAAATAATTTCATTAGAAATAAAATGACCTCCCTCGACCCCAAATTGAAGTCCAAAATGCCAGAAATTGATTGCATGAAAGAGACCAAGATAGCCAGATGTTAGGAAAAAATCCTTCTAAATAATCGGAAGCCATTTCTTAGGAGTCGTTAACCTGCTTCAGACTCTTTAATAGTTGTATCTTAGTCCTCAATTAGCAGCTCTTAATCACATTTGAGCGAAGTGATTTTACTAAACTTTTTCAAGAATACAGCTAGAGCTTTTCCTAACTTTTTTTTCTTGTGATCATACAGCATATTTAATCAATGATTCTCAGAGTATTGAGTTTTCAGAGGACAGTTAGACAGAAATGAATTACAAATTATTAATGGGTCACATTTAAGAATTATTTCTTGAAAATGGAATGCACACCAACTGATACTCCTATATTAACTATTATACAGATAAAAGAAGTAAGACTTGCTTGGATTTGTATTTCATGGTCAATCAATGCCACATCAAACTATATGTCAGAAACTTGAATTTGATAAACTACAGTAGATAAACACATCTGGAGGGGCCAGACATCTCAGAATGATTTGGTTTTTAGCACATACCAGAGGATACCCCTCACTGATAGTGGTTTTACTTTGCCAGATAAGTTTATGAGTTTGGATGTGGATATTCCTGGAAGGCACAGTAACACTTACCAGAGAGATTCATCCAATTAAAAGTCATTTTTTAAATGGCACTTCACTTCCTCTGACGCTCTCAATCTATGGGTAAGAGTACTGGGTTGGGATTCCTGTGATGGCTTACATTCCTTTTCTGGAAAATATAGATAATAATCACACCTCAATTTCACACAGGTGATTTGGTGATACTCAAGAGACAGTTTAGCTTATCATGGATATTGAACTCAAATGACTACCAGCTCCAGAAGGTAAAAAAAAATCAATGAAAGATGCTATCAAATAAAGTTCCTAGCACTCCTACACTCTGCAATGTATTGTCAGTAAGACAGGATCATATAGTATTTCAAGAAGTTCTCAAATAGAATTATTTTTTAAAATAAAAGTTGCTGAATTTTAAGATGGTGGCAACTAATTTTTTAAAAATCACATAGTTTGGGGTTAAATTTGACACATAAATTTGACACAAACTTGTGGCCCATATTATGTGAGTTTACAGTGTAATAATAACATATAGTAGAAAAATGGAAGGTGGGAAGGGTGTTTTTATTATGATTCCTTACAGGGCTGTTTCAAATCTATGTTGCTTTTTCCAAACCTTTTGTGTCATCCTGGCCTACTCTTACATAGAGTAAGTCAGTTCTCCGATATAATACCTCTCAATGCACCTTTCCAAATACCTTCATTTATCTGTGCTTTCTCTACATGTGCAAAGAAATCTCTCCTACAGTCTCCTTTCCCTGAATTTCACCCCCTTCAAAATCACCCCCTAGAGCTCCTATCACTCACTCCTACCCATGGAGGTCTCAATTTTCTATCGTACTTCTTACCAAATTACTCTCTCCTTATGTCCCAAGGTGAGAGCAGCCTTTCTAGACTGCCCTTTTAAGTCATAACTTGTCTGATGATTTGTGAGAGAGGGAACCACTCGGCTGTGAGTTGTGGGGAAGGGACTGTGGACATCTCAGTGCTACTTTGAAGAATTTCAGCAAATCCTACTGTTTCAGAACCACTTTCGTAGAAGCCTCGTGCTTCCAATTTCTGTACTGTTCCTACTCTGAGGCATGGACTAGTCTGCCTTATGGCCTCCGTGCTGTAGACTTGGGTTCATTTATTTTTCTACCCTGCTTAGTCTGTTCCCACTTGTTCACCTGCTTTCTAATTTCCACGTTTTTATTTTAGTCTTATCAAATGTGTTATCTTGTAACAGGTTTATACCTTTTTAAAAAGTAGTTATTTTTCTATCATAGCAGTAGAGATTTGTAAGGGAGCAAAAAAGAATACACACACACACACATATGTAGAGGGAAAGGGATGATTAATCAGAGTGTTTATACCTTTATTCTTAAATTATTCTCTGAACGCCTTTTTTCTTATACTTTAAAATTCATAGACTCTGGAAACACACATCTCTCTTGGTTTTCCTCCTATATCCTTAAATTTTAGCAAAGGCTGGGCCTTGTAGATCTGGGTTCACATTGTAGCTATACCTTTTTCTAGCTATGAAAACACTGAGTATGTCACTGACCCACTGGAGCTTCAAAAGACTCATCTATAGCACCCATCTCTACAAATTATGTAAAGAGTGGCATCAATCAAGAAAACAGAAATGTGTCAGTCATTTTAAGAGAGAATTTAACAAAAGGAATTGTCTCATTTATTTTTTAAATAAGTCTTTGGATATTTATTTATTATGAGAGAGAGGTGTGATAGATAGTGTGCCTGAGCAGGGGAGGGATGGGGGGGGAGAGGGAGGGAGGTAGGGAGGGAGGGGGAGAGAGAGAGAGAGAGAGAGAGAGAGAGAGAGAGAGAGAGAGAGCCCTAAGCAGGCTCTGCCCTGTCAGCACAGAGCCCAGTGTTGGGCTCGAACTCACAAACTGTGAGATGATGACCTGAGCTGAAATCAAGAGTTGGATGCTTAATCAACTGAGCCCCCCAGGTGCCCCAATGAAATGAAATTGTTTTAAAGGTGTTAGAGAACGGAGAAAATGAAAATGAATGAGAAATAACACTAACTGCAAGAAGCTGCTTCCACCTCTAGGACCAGGGTATCAGAGAGAAGTGGTCTGAATTATTAAAATCTAGAAGCATGGAGGAGGAGCCGCACACAGTGGGACTCCGCATTCTGTCAGGAAGGCACTGCCCTGCTGCTGCTGGGACCTCTAGCAGGGCACATTAAGGTGATGTGGGGGGCACATAGTAAAAAGGAAACCAGAATACACTGCCTATTGCGGAAACCATGCTACCAGGAAGAGCAAGAAAATGGAAAGAATACGTTTCTTCCTTTGCCATCGTGGAGCTCTTTCTCCAGGGCTCCTGTCCCCAGCGTCACAAAGCAGACAGAGGGTGGGTGTAGGACCGAAAGACACTAGTTAAGTAACTAGAAAAAACATGTTAACACAATACCTAGAACACATGAACCCAAAATGCAATACAAGTTAGTCCAACCTAACGTAAAGAAAGTTTACTCTAATTTATCTTTTTAACTAGCCCTTAATTGTTCCAGCAAGTAGTTAACCTAACACAAACTCAACTGGAACTCTTTATAATTTACCCTTCATATTAATTTTGCCTCAAAATGTGAAACATGTTCTCTGAGTTCCCAGGTGGGTTAGGCACCAGGTGGATTGTCTCAGCAACTCCTGTATATTTGGCTTATGGTTTCTGAGCCCTAGTTACTTATTTCCCCAGTCTTCTCATTTCCAGTTTGTGGTAGAAAGAAGGAGAATGAGAAACATACTCCATGTCTACTTATCCTCCACAGCTCTTACTCATCTTTAAATGCCTCTACTGCTTGGAAGTGTTAATTTCTCTCAGATCTAAATTCCTTTCTACCTACAACATATTTCCATGCTACTTTCACTCTAGGTTTACTTTTAATTTGAAAGAATAAACCTGGGTCTTCCTACATTCATTTATTATGAATTCTATATAGATTTCTCTTAGCAACTACCAAAGTAGCTTCTTCTTCACATAAATTACCTAATAAACCCTTTACACCCTTACTGACAATGAAATATTTATAGGACTTTTAGCCAGTTTTACTTGGGTATCATAAATTAAAAGACAAATATTAGGGGACAAAAGAGAGAAAAGATGAATAGTGAATAAATTCTGAGTAGCAGAAACATGAAAATAAGCCTTTCTGCTAGTGCAGTTTAATAAAGGTAAATCAAAAGATTCACCAAGGTTTGTGGGGCATGCCAAAGAAAATACCCAAAATAAATATCTGTACTCTGACATTACGGAGTGGGTGTTTAGGCCCATGGAGAGGTAGTACACAAGACAAACTCACAGCAAGAATTTTAGAAATAACTCTATTCTAATGTTTAGCAATTATAATTCAAATAATTGATTCTTCTGCTCTTACCAATTAAAGTAATCTCTGGGACATGTAACTGTAACTGCCTACTAGTTGATTTTGAGTGAACTTTCCCACTGTTTTTGAATTTTTTATGCCAATAAATCCAAAGAAATTTACAGCATATAACTAGTAAATACGGTTCCTTCTTCCCACATACCACCATACCCATCTTGCTATGTCCATACCACAGGGTTCGATAGCACAGTTTTGCAGAAGTGGCACTTTCAGCATTTTAAGTTGGGCTTTCTGAGAATTTTCAGCTATTTAGCAGCATCTTCAGTCTCTACCTGCAAGGTGACAATAGCAGCCCTGGTCCCCGCACCCGTCAGTCCTGACTACAAGTACCCTGGTTAGGGATGACTGGTCTATAGTTTCACTGACCTTGACTTCCACATTCCAAAGTTAACTTCTCAGTGATTGCTTTCTGGCTGCTTTCAAATTTTGTCAACTGCTTACACATGAAGCAGTTTTGCTTCACTTGTGGCCAGCTAGTGGCTCCCACTTAAAAATCACCATAGGCCACAGGAAGCCACTTCATTCCTCCTCATGTCTCCATTTGCTAAAGTGGGAACACGAATAAGAGCACACATATATGTTTTATATGTGATTACTGGTGATATCTATTGCCTTTCCTGTGGGCTAAACATAAAGGAAGACAGGAAGTCAGGAAAAGCTCCTTTGCCAATGTCTGTATAGAAAAGACATGTCTAGTAATAAATTCAGCCCACACTGTGCTTCCAGCCTTAGGCTGGCCACTGAAAGTATTTGTAAGCCTCCATGTCCTAATTCTAGCTATTTTCTCTGACATGCCGGATATGTTTGGAAATTTAGAGCAAATTTCATTTTAAATTATCTTCTATAACATAAATTCACATATTTATACAGTTTTGCAAATTTTGTTGATGATTTTGTTATATTTGAGCTACATGCATTTTTCATAGTGACAGAGATTTCAAGGATAATTTGGCTGTAATGTTATTCAAGCTCACTTTTTCCTCCGATCATTCTAGCTAAGGGACCTATTTACATAATACCTAGTGCCTTGTTATTTTTTTTATTCTTGCTTCATTGGAAAGCCAAAAGTAAACAAAAAGAAATGCATTTTAAAGCACTTTTTAGTTGGAAGACCTTTGTGGTATCCAACTTTCTAGTGAAATTTCCCCAGCAGACTCTATATTGGAAAAGGCAGTTTCTCTTTTATGAATTAATGAACATGGTAGAGGTTAAGCGTTTCAGAATCACCAGTTCAACGTTTTATATATAGTTAGACTACTGGCAGTACAGTGATGCCTTGACTATTTACTCTCAAGTTTCCTTTTAAGGGCATACACGGGGCACCTGGGTGGCTCAGCTGGTTAAGCATCTGATTTCGGCTCAGGTCATGATCTCTCAGTTTGTGAGTTTGAGCCCCACTTTGGGCTCTGTGCTGACAGCTCGGAGCCTGGAGCCTGTTTCAGATTCTGTGTCTCCCTCTCTCTCTGCCCCTCCTCTATTCACACTCTGTCTCTCTTTCTCAAAAATAAATAAACATTAAAAAAATTTACATTCACAGTTTGATTTTATTGGAAAGCTGAGTTTGACTATATGCAAAATTCTGATAAAGACTAAATATAGGTAGCTTCCTAGTAGGCCGAGGCAACCAAAGCCAAAGAGAAATATAATGGTGAGAAATCATCTTTTATTTAAGCTAACCATTAATCATTCCCCATACCTGGTTTAAGAAGAGTGAAAATAAGCCTAAGACATAGTTATTCTTTAATTATCAAATACATGTTTGAAGTCCCTTGAAGAAAAACTCTAGAAAAACCCAATTACAACTCTTGGGGCCAACACTCATAAGAATAGGGAGATGATAAAGGAGAAATGAAATAGCTTATAAGATGTTTGTGTTAGTGATTAGAATCAATAATCCAGTGCTTTCATTTTACAGATGAGAAAACTGAGCACTTGTAGCACACCAAGCAAAACATGAGCTATTCATTAGTTCACTGAATACAACAAAACTATGAAGCAGGTACAATTATGTCCATTGAATACTGAAGAAACAGAGGCTTTTAGAAGTAATGTGCTATAACATCACTTAGGTCTGTGAACTCTTAACAACCACACTACATTTCCTCAGAGATTTAGAGAAACAGCAACCCAGAATCTTATCCAAGACCCAATTCTGCTTATGATATCATTCTGAGGCTCTCTGTCCAAACATATCAGACCATTTATGAATACACACAAAACATAAATAAAAACACAAGTATATAAATTTGAATTGATAGTAAAGCTTTAGATGAACTCTCAAAGGAATTAGAAGTGTGACAATTCATGAAATGTCAAGTGAGTCATGATTATTTTTAGTAATCATTCAGGAGTGAATAATAAAATGCTATTCTGTATTCATCCTAATGTATAGTTAGTATGATCGTTTTGAAAAAATAAATAGTATCTGGGAAGCAAGGAGTAGATTTGGCTGTGCCATTTCTGTGTTCTTTGTAGAATCATTCAACTCAATAAAATGGAGGGGTTTTTTGTTTTTTGTTTTTGTTTCTTTAGCCTATTCCTTGACTCTACTTTATTATCATGTTGTATTGTCAATTAGGAATTGTTTGTACCTTGACGAAAATCAGTTTTTAAAAAGGATTTTTGACTTTTCTTTCACATCTTGCTCATCCATTCATCTGTCAATGGACACGTAGGTTGGTTCTGTACCTAAGCTATTGTAAATAATGCAGCAATAAACACAGGGATGCATATATCTTTTTGAATTAATGCTTTCATTCTCTTTGTGTAAATAGCCAGTAGTGGAATTATGGGATAATATGGTTATTTCTTTTGATTTTGTGAGGAACCTCAAGAGGGGAGGTGAGTGGAGGGATGGACAAAATGGGTAAAGGTGAGTGGGAGATACAAGCTTCCAGTTATGGAATGAAGAAGTCATGTGAATAAAAGGCACAACATAGGGGATATAGTTAGTGATATTGTAACAGTGTTGTATGGTGACAGATGGGAAGTACATTTGTGGTGAGCACAGCATAATGCACAGAAAAGTTGAATCACTATGTTGAATATCTGAAATTAATGTACCATTGTATGTCAACTATACTCAAAACAATTTGAAGAAAAGGATTTTGGTAATAGTTGCAACTAGACATAAGGCACAAATAATTCAAAAGACACACCTTTCA